GGTTTAGGGTTCCTTGAAGTGTGTTTTGGGGGTTGGGCTCCTTTCAGTGTCATATAAAGGACTCAAGACTGGGGTCTGGGGGACAGTATGGCACAATAATTGAAGGAATCCAAAGGTTCAGGGCTTGGGGTTTAGGGTTGCTGAAGGATTAGGGATTAGGGTTGGGGCCAAAAGCTTCACAGTTGCAAGGTCTGGGATTTCCGGCTCTCGGGTTTTAGGGTTTGGGGTTTAGGGCTGATGTGGTAAGTACTGTTAAAGCCATTCCTACTTGTATTACGAATAGCTACTACGAGATACTACGATTATAATCATCATCTTAATGACAGTAAAAAAATATATCTATGCTGGATTCTCTTATACCGTATGTTGCCCGCTGCTGGGTATGCGGGCTTGTAAGAAGCGCTGGTTGGGGAGGTCTATGCCAACCGTATATACAGTCAAAAACCGTCTCCCTTAAGCCCACGCATCCGAGTGCATGCGTGGAAAAAGCGTTAGCCAATAATGGGGTTCTACGCAATGCGAATCTCACAGGCCATCTTTGTTCGCTGAATCAGCACCTACACTCGAACCTCGATTCCTAGCCCCGCAACCCCATGATGGACGAGAGAGTGAATTCTAGAGAAGTTTCAGGTTGAGAGTGGCTAAATTCCTCATCCCATGCTGATGTTGCAGAAACAGTAAACGCTTGACCAGTTAGCTAGCTTCTTCCTGATTGTACCCCACAAATCATCACAAGCTCACCAAGCCCTGCATCCCTGAACCTCCACCCTAGAACCCTCGACAAGGAAACCCAACAAACACAGAAAACCCCATAAACATGCGTACCGGCGTTTAAGGTTAAAGGGTTTAGAGTTAAGGGGGTGTATGGCTTCAGGATTCTAGGCTTCGGGTTTAGGGCTTCGGGTTCACGAAGTACCTAAGATTCACTTCCAATTCTCAGGAAGATACCCGGTTCGAGGCTTAGGAGCTTGTACAAGCTAGTATCAGATTCTTGGGGCTTCGTACAAGTATCGGGTTGAGGGTCTCGGGTTCTTTCTGTCTTTGTTGGCTTGAGGGTTCGGCTAAGGCATATAAGCTTAAACCCCAAACCCCAACCGAAACTGCAAACCGACTGGGACCCGGACCAGCGCAGAGGCTGACTTTCCGACTCCCGAGACCTGGTTCCAAGGCTCTGGGGGTTGGGAGATGTGGGTTTCAGGATTTGCTTCTGATGTAGGGCATCGAGGAATAGGGCTGGCTTTTTGTGGAATTCCAAGCAGCTGCTGATTAAGGCTTATCCATGGCTGTGCCATTTAGAACCTTCTTCAAAATTACTGATTTCCCAGCAATACCCACTGAAGTATGAGCTGCGGAATAGGATTTCGGTTCAGGGTCGAGGACGTCAGGGTACAGACTTCATGGCCTGAGGTCTTGTGGCCGTTTGATCTGTACCCTTGGCTCCTTTGCAAAGTCGTTTTGAACCAGCCAGCACCAGTTAAGCCTGTGCAACCACCAGATGCCCTACGCCGAAACCACCAGAAACACCACTCCGACACGACTTCACAACGGAGAAACCACGAGGTTTTAAGTACCATCCCAATCCCACAAGTAAAATCAGCAGAGATCATTGAGGATTCGATGCTACATGCCAGCCTCGACTGGGCTGCTCGCAGCTTTGCGGCTGAGGCTTGCCGACGCGCCTGGCGTGCACACGGGAACGGGGCAGCCTAAGTTCTTTCGATTGCTGCAGTGCGGCTGAGGTTTAGGGTTTTGGAGTTCGAGGCTTTTTGTAGGGTTTAGAGTCTAGAGAGTTGGATTTCGATTTTGGGGCTTCGGAGTTTGAGGCTTTGGGGCTATGGGATTTTGGAGGAAAGCTGCACGCAGTCAAACAGACCACGCCCACTCAGCCTAAACTTAAGATCGCGAGTTTGGGGGCAGAACTCCAGGCTTGAAGAGTGCAGGCGACAGGGGTACAAATGCAAACGCCACGAGTTGACAATCATGCCTGCAGATGGTGCGAACATCGCACCGAGACACGGAAAGAGAATCTCTGATTCTTCACCCACGTTTCTGCATCGGTGAGACTCACATTCCTCACTTAGGACGATTCAAGACGAAGACTTGAAGATGCGGAACTTTATCTAGCTGGCTGAACAATATTAAGCCCTAAACCTGAACCTCTCAATTTTGACACAAGACCTAGAAGCTGTTGTTCTTAGAAGCTCGCTTCCCTCCACCGAAGCCAATACGCCCTGAGCACTGGGGGGCACCGGCTGCCCAGGTTGCTGTTGGACGCAGGAAATCAAAAGCCACGATACCGAGTCCCGCACGGTGTGTCTGGCCTCCTGGATACGGAAGGCTGCCTCGTGGTTTGCAGGGCTCCGTTCAGGGTAGTCGGTTGGCAACTGGTGTTTGATGTGCACCTCAGCTTTTGCTACGATGAATAAACCACAAATCATGCTAGGACACCGGCTCTGAAAACACCCGTTGCGTGAATCCGCGCTGCCTAAAGTCCAGGTTGCCTCGCGCTTTCGGTCTTTTGCAACTAAGTAATTCAACAAAACTGACCTGACAATGCAAAAGGGCAGCGAAAATGCTTCCCACAACTGGACAACATGTTTCAGTCGGGCCAGGAAGCGTTGCCCTTGAAGGAGGCAGATGAAGCCAAGGAGGACGGGAAAGGAGTGGAAGAGCTAAGGCTCCATCAAGCTAGGGGTACACAGTTTGAGAGAAGCCCGGCCGTCCCACTGCGTGTGGCCCGAGCTCGTTTCCAAGGCGGCCTTGGACTTGCAGCTGGGCTCGGCCTTGTGCACGGGACCCGTCGCAGCGTGGTCTCGTGAAATCCACATTTCGTCGAGGCATGCAACGAAGCTGCCGGAGACATGTCCGGCATGACCGGCCACCATCCCACCGGAGCTCTGAAGATTTGAGGCCTTTCACCAACAGGCCTTCTGGAAGATGCACCGCATCCCAGCCACCTTTTACAACTAAGTTTTGGGGCCAAACAAAGTCACCATCGAGAATACGGCAATCCGAGCACTTGCTTCACATCCCCCCGCTCATGCACCACATCCACAAGGCACAACTCAATAAATTAGTTTTGGTACCTTCTACATGCTTTCTAGATAGATGTGGTGCTCTAAAGGCCTCGAAGGCCTAGGGGCTGGGATACAACCACCGAGAAGAAGAGTGCACTGGGTCAGCGCAATCTGGCGAAGCTGTGTTGCGCATTCTGCAGTGCGCGTCTGATTCATAGTGCTCCAAAACAGGACGGTCAGAGGGGGAAACCGGGGGAGCCTTCATTACCTTTTGAGTCCTTTCAGAGGCTGGCTGCCAAATGCCTGCGCTGGAACAGGGTTGACATATGCCGTTTACTCACAGTGATGCCGTGGATTTTGCTGTGCAGGGTCGCTTGAAAGAAATGCAGTCGGCCGCCTACAAGAAGAAGGAGTGCTGACACAACTGGTCGCTGTCTGGAGGTACAACACAGAAACATCCACCGCTAGCCGCGGAATTGATGCTGCCAGGCTGTGCCGAATCCCTGACGACAAGATATGAGTCCGGGGCCGGTGTCTCAGCCACAGCAGTATCCATCGAGTCCCTGGCACGATGGCAACAAAGATGTGGGGTAGTATATTTCGGGTTCCATGGCAGCCGTCCTGCTGTCAAAACGAATCAACACCAGTCATTTAATCTGAAAAGCACACAAGTAAGCATCCTGCGAGGATACACCCCAGCAGAAGCCGGAACACTCTGCGCGGGCCAACCTAGTATGTCCAGCTCGTGCCCGCGAGCTACCGAAATTCGACTTCAGTGTCAGCGGCGATTTCATTTTCATCACCCTACAACAACCATGTTAGCATAACCATAGCAATGCTCATGAGCAGAGCCACCGACCGCGACGACATGATTGCGAGTCCCTACCACGACGACGAGGACGAGGACGAGAACGACCAATACGGTACTACCACCGCTCCAGCAGCCCCCGTCCCCGTAGCCATCACGAGTATCGTCGTCGTTCTCCGCATGTGCTCCTCCTCTCCGCTGCCCCGCCTCCTCCTGCTCCCGCTCTGATCCCTTAGCTTTGCCGGGCCCACGATCCCTGCCGGAAAGAACTTCGTATCGCCTGCCAGGCATTCGGACCGAGCTCAGAACTCACAGACGCAAGGCGGTCCCGGATGTATCTCGGACAGCAGTTACCTCTGGCATTAAACAGAGGAGTACAATGCAAATAAAGGTTGTTGATGAAACGGAATATGAAGTCAGGGTACATGCTCAGTTGAAAGCATTTTCGGAGCTTGGTTGACGGTGCTGCATGACGTACAAGGGCTGATGAGGTATCGGAAGAGCCGTCGGTCATGCTTTTGAAATTCTTTCATGCTTTCATGCATGTATTCCGTCCTTCCTCTCACACCTGGTGAAAAGCATGCTTTTGAAATTCTTTCATGCTTTCATGCATGTATTCCGTCCTTCCTCTCACACCTGGTGAAAAGCTGCGCCGTGTCGAATCGAACATGTGGGCATGTGGGCATGGACGGACGGAAGCACAGATGCTCTGAACAGAGGCCTATATAGAGACGGATGCATACGTGCCTTATCACGAATCCAAACGTACGGTATGCATGCTTCTGTGCATGTGTCTGCATCAGGCACATAGAAATCCGGATTCACAAGTCCTACACCCTGAACCCCTGAATTACTAAAGCCCTACAGCCCCAGACCAAAAAACCCTAAGTTTGCAAACCATAAAACCCTAAAGCCCTAAACTCCGATACATCGAACCCCCAAAAAAACCTCGTACGGAGATACATAGGCTAGCAGAAAAGCCAACAAAAGACATCCTCGGAGCATGTTCAGGTTAGACGTGCGTCAGAAACTTTGGAGTTCTACTTCGGGGAACATGGCCGGCACTCAAGGCTTAGGGGTTCAAGATTTGCACCGCACCCCTTTTCCTTGCAGAAGCAGAAGCCACGAGTCACGGCCTCGGTATGCTTAGGGGCGCATCCATGCACTTCTGTAGATTGTGTGTGCAAGGAGCTTGAACCGTCTCTCATCGCAAAGCCTAGCTCGTCAACCAAGGATCCGAATCCCAACCGGCACCCGAGACAAAAAACTGCCAGGCTGAAGTCCTGCTCAGGGGGTTTCTGCGTTGAGCCAAAACTCGCCTTCTACGTCTCTACGTTATTCATCTTTCTTGTGCTGTCGCTGCTATTTCACATCATCCTGTTTTGCATGTGCGCTAAGCAACGACGTGACGAGGGCGGGACTCCTCCACTTTCCGTTAAGGTTCAGAGCGTTTACAGAGTTTGGGATGTCAGATTTGGGCTCTTGATGCTTCAGGCTCCAGATTCGCGGGAGTTGGAAGCCTCCTCTGTCTTTCGATGCTTGGATGCAGTCTGCACCCTAAGCCCGAAAGTCCTAAACCCCTGAAGGGTGATCCGAGCCGAGCCGAGGGCATGACCGGCTACAGCGTGCTCGACCCGAAACCTTTCCGACTGGGCTTCCGGTATTGAGAGCGGTTTGGGGCCCCTTTGGGCTCCGGAGACTTCGGAGACTTCGGTTTTCGGCTTCGGGCCTTCAGGGTTTGGGGTCTTCCGGGCTTGCGGGTTCAGTCGTGTGGGTTTAGGGCCTCAGGGTTTTTAGGGCTTTAGGCGTGTACTGGGTTTAGGATTCTTGGTTTTGAATTTCTGGTAAGGCGCAACAACAGCTCTTGATCGGAAGGGCCTACCTCAAGCCACTTGTGGATTTGGGGCTGAGTGTGGCTGTTTTCGGTCTTCGACATAACAACCGGTGCTGTGTGAAGTTTACGTCTCGCGGGCCCATTCCGAGCGAGTTTCTTCCTTCAAGATCTCACGGGCAGTATCCAGAGACTTCGACATCACCCAATTCTATGCTTGTGGTCGTAACGCTCGGAGATTGGGGGAACATCCATAAAAGCACAAGGTTTTGCGAGCCGGTGAAAACCTCAACTCGAAAACAAGCCATCTACTGTCTCTCTAAAGGCCGTGGGCCCTGAAACGTATGTCGCACCTTGGGAAGACATTTCATTAAATGGATCCAAAACCTCGAACTGCGTTCGGCATGGCACTCGTCCTGTTTGCTTTCTCTTCGTTACGACTCTGTGGAGAAACCGCAAAACACTCACTCAGGAATATTCTTAAGTTGTGAGCAGCTCTCTTGATACGGTCGGTAGTCTATAAGAAAAGCTGAACCATATATAGCCCACTGAGAAGCCTTCCAAAAGTCAGAAAGAAGCCTCCACTGACTAAAGCCGAAACCCCGCAACTGTACATCCAAGACCATGAACTCCTAAACCAAAAAAAACCGAAACCCAAGCCAACTCCCAACTAACAAATTACGTCTCGGCTCAGCGCGTGACCGGACCGGCTTAGGGCAACCTGCTTGCTTGAGGTTTCAGGTTTTGGGCCACAAAGGTTTCAGCGTTTTGGATTTGAGGTTGTAAGGTTTTCCGGGTGTGCGGCTTTGGGTTGAACGTGGCTTGGGGTTTCACAGTTTTTGGAATGGGGTTTAAGGTTTTAGGGTTCAGGGGTTGGGGCAGGGTTTGGAGGCACCTACAAAGCTTGAACCACACATCCCTAATCCCAACCTTTAAACATTAGACCCTTAACTTCAAGCCGTCGAAACTTAAATCCCAATCCTTCCACCCAGCAGCTCCAGGTTGAATCCTTTTCACTCGTATCGGCCCAAATCTTCACACCTCCTCACCTTAGCTCTTGGCCCTAATCCTTTGACCTCCAAGTCTTTGACATCAGAGCATCTAGTCTTATAAATCAAATCTTGATCAACAATCTTAGGCCCTAAGCTCAAAATCCTTCCCTTAGGCTCCAACCCTTAAGTCCCCAAACCCCCCTATTTCAACACCGTCGTGAGCCCTATATCTCACGCAACTTTTGAACCTGTTTGAAGACCTCAAGCCGGTAACCCAAAATACAGCAGCCGTAAACTCGAAAACTGTGACAAAAGGAAAAATGCCATGAACTTCATGCTTTGAAAGGCCATTAAAGGTCAGGCCCACATGCCAGCGTTACAAAATCCAAACGACACCAGGCACTTGAATGGTACACCATTGTACTTCAGAGAAGTACAAGACGCAAAAGTAGACCCTGACGCGGAAGCCTGCCGTCCCGAATGAAAAGCCCAGAGCCAAGTTGAAACCCGTAAATTTCATGGACCGGGCAAGATGAAGCTTTTGCTCGCGCTGGTAGTAAACTCCCTCTGAACTTTTCAACTCAGAACCACGGAGCCTCAAACATTAAACTGCAACAGTGCAGGAAAGTTCGGGTTTCGAAGGCTCATGCTTCATGATGACGGATACATCCTTCGATCTTTAGCTTTGGCATTGTGAAATCTGGTTTCGTTGCGATAGCCGAGTTGTCGGACACGGCAAAGTTGGCCCTGCCCCTGTGTGGATTTGGAATCGACCTATGAAAGCTTAGTTCCGTCCAGTAAGAACTTGCTTTAATGAAGGTGCAGTTCTCCATTATTGTCACGACAAGATATGCAGACCCCGCTCAGACTGCAAGTAAGCCTGGGATTTCCGGTCTTTCCATCACCAAATTCACAACAGGAAACCCGTCTCATGAACTCAAACAATAACTTCAGCCAACCCTGCCACGGAGAACAGTACTTGCAACAACTCTGGAAAATTCATCCTTGATGGCCTGCAACCGGACACATCTGCATCCATGATGATGCCCACACAAACTGCTAACATCCTTTTGAAACAGAACTCAGGACGCCTTGGACGGCAACTCCGCTGGGATTACCGGCGAGCTCCACCGTGCCCCGATGCAGTACTGGAGACGTCGGGGTCCGAGCACATAGCGACGGCACGATTGGAACTGTGGGAAAGAGACACTGTACCCAACAAAAAAAAGCTTCCATCACGCCGTACGCACATGTGCATATCTAGCTCCTCGGAGTAAACATGTGCTCAGGGCGGGCCACATGTTGGTCTGCATCCGTCCTAGTCCTTGTCACAACTTGAGAAGCTGCACCGGCCCAAGTCGAATGCACGGACGTGTAATCCGCCTGTGTAATCCGCATGTGCCCTTACACCGTTACCCAGACAACACAGGCAGGCACGGCAGAGATAAAAGTCACCCAAGACATATTGATGTTTTCTGTGTTGACCTGTTTAGTCATTCATTCCCTGTTCATGTGTTGACTTGACTGTCTACGTATGTGTGTCTTTTCAACCGCTCAATCGAACATGTCCGAGAATATGCGCGTGCACAACACCGTATATGCTTACATGATGTATGCTGCATGCTTTTGTCAGCCCCATACGTTATACGTGGCCATCGATGTACCGATCTATGAGTTAAACCGACTGCACATTGCTTTTCTGGATAAGCGACCTGTCTTTTGACAACTACCCGTTCGCCCGCTTACCGATTATCGTCAGATCTTTTAACATGCATACTATGCCAATGTGTACAAACACATACCTACTTGCCTGCCTGGCCGCCTGCCTGGCTGCCTACCTACGTACCTACCAAGCCACCTAACGAGTTATGCACATTTGTGGAAGAAACAAACAAACATACCCACATACATACATACATACATACATGCATGCATGCATGCATGCATGCATGCATGCATGCATAACTACCCACATACTTGTACATACCTACCCACATACTTGTACATACCTACACGTATCAGCTGGTCTGCATTGCTTGCCTGCCTGCCTGCCTGCTTATTTGCCTTGCCTGCGTGCTTGCCTCGCCCGCCTCACATGAATGCATGCACGACAAGATGTGCCGGTAGTGCGCGCAATACAAATGTGCAGAATAGCAAACAAGAACGGTAAGCATCGCCGATCTTTTTCCAACCTCCTCACTCTCGTGGGTGCTGGCTGCATTGCATCAGAAGGCACGACCTGCGTGGTCTCGCGGGGTTTCGCTTCGTGATGGGATTAAACGGAGTTACGATTGGCACTGGCTCTTCTTTACTCCGACTGTTTGTTCTGATTTTTGTTTATCAAGGCCTGTCGGGGCCTGGCGGGCAAGGAGATAACTACGATGTTGATACGGGAAGCATGCTTTGTCCTGTGTTTTTTGCCCATGTTCTGTCTATCAGAATTCCAATTCTGCTTCGTAGCAGCAGCAGTCCGGGATCTTCGCCTCGTTGACCGTCGGCTTTTGGGTTCAAGGTTCCGGCAGATCTGGGCCTATGCGCACATCGACCTCACTTTGCTTCCGCCAGGGATGGCCACGTGTCCGAGATGGAAAACCGTAACTGACTGCCGCATCTATCAAACGGAAAGTCTGCGGACAGCGAAATCACCGCATGCTGTGGGAATAGGTGCACCTTCCATTGCCACACACTTCAATCCGCTGGGAAGTAGAGGACCTCAGGCAGCGTGAAGCCAATCGCGACAGCGATGTACGATGCGGAACCATGGAGCGAATGACGAGGCTGAGGAAGATGAGATTGAAGAGCATGAGGATGATGATGCTGAGAAGGTGCATTGTGATGATGATGATGGTGGTGATGATGATGATGATGGTGTTGTTGCTGCTGTTGCTGCTGCTGCTGCTGTTGTTGGTGCTGGTGCTGGCGCTGGGGCGGGTGCTGGTACTGGTGATGGCTTCGGTGCTGGCGCTGCTGCTGGCTGGTGCTGCTGCAGCTGCAGCTGTTACTGATGCTGCTGCTGCTGCTGCTGGCGCTGGTCTTGGTCATGGTCATTGCGATGGTGATGGTGAAGTCAAGGGTGATGGCTTGGGCGAGGGTAAGGGTGAAGATGCGGCGATGGTGGTGATCGCAGTCCTGCTGACCGTGGCAATGCTCCTGCAAGATAATGCTGGTCATCAGGAGTGACACTCGTGTCAACGGCCATGACATTCGTCGAGCGAACGATCAAGGTGTTGGAATGAACTTTCTGCACTGCCGCTGCCTTTACGAAATCGCTTGAAGACGAAGGTGACTGATCAAGACGCAGCCTGTGAGTCCTTTAAAGCACCAAGACTATGGATCATTGCTGTGCCTTAGACTCTTCACACACTCCCCCATGCACGTGTACACAAAGCATACGCACCTGACCTCCACACGACTCAAGAAACAGAAAAACCAGCGAACACCACCGCAACCAAACAACATCCAAAAGAAAGCCTTCAACCTCAGCGGCAGCATCACAATGATGAGGCCAGGGCCTCCCTCAATTTTGGCTGTGGCACCTAAAAGTACTCGCTTGAGAGACTATAGAGTCTGAACAGGTTTTGATGTGCCGGGACCAAAAGACTTAGTCAGCTATTTGGGGGATGAAGGAAGGAGTGCTCAAAGAATGGCCAGTGGACTCTAATGGCTTCTATGGCTTGGCGGCTGCTCAGGCACATGCTGTTTACACGCTGTTTGGCTGTTCAGATGTTTCCATGTTTCTACACAATTTGTCACACGGTGTTACAAGTAGGCCTCTCCGAACCCACACCACCACCACACCACCACCGCCGCCGCCACCACCACCACCACCACCACCACCACCACTGCCACTACTACTGCCACTGCTGCTACTGCTACTGCTACTGCTACGACTACCACTACCACTACCACTACCACTACGACTACGACTACTACTACTACTACTACTACTACTGCTACTACTTCTGTTTATCTTCTTCCAAATGAACTGGGTTGCATCTCTCGAACATCCAGACATGGTGATATGTCGATTGACCCCGCTAACGTGCCACCGAAGCACTGTCGAAACCTCGCGGCGCTTTGGCTCCTTGGCCGTGGGGTCTAGGGTATAAGGCATCGAACGTCAGGGTTTAGCCTCCAATGGTTTTGGGATGTGGGTTTGGCAGTGTAAGTTGGTGTGAAGTTCCAACGTCTAAGGCTGCGAATCTTTCGGGTTCAAGGTTAAGGGCTGCATCCAATACTCAGTATAAACCAGGTCCACCAAGCAGGTTAGCTCAAAACTCGCAGCCTACGACCCAAAAGACAACCTTTTCCTCCTTGATTCAAACCTTGAATATGCAACGCCGTGGGTTAGCAATTCTGCTGAAGTTCAACGCGAACCCACGCCTACTGGGTGTGGCAGACAAAGTTCGCACACCACCACCACCACCACCACACTAACACCAACTCACTCACACGAACACTGGCACCAACGCCAGCACCGCGGACCACCACCTGCACCGACAACAAGAAGAAGAACAACAACAAACAAACAACCAACCAAACAAACCAACCAACCAACAAACAAACAAACAAACACACAAACAAAGAACAATCCAAACCAACAAACACACCACCACCACCACCGCCGCCGCCACCACGACGACGACGACGACGACGACGATGACGATGACGACGACAACGGCAACCACAACAACAACAACGACAACCACAACCACAACAACAACAACCACAACCACAACCACAACCGCAACCGCAACCGCAACCACAACCACCACCACCACCACCACCACCACAACCACGACCACGACCACGACCACGACCACGACCACGACCACGACCACGACCACGACCACGACCACGACCACGACCACGACCACGACCACAACCACCACAACGACAACGACAACAACAACGACAACGACAACGACAACAACAACAACAACGACGACAACAATGATAATGATGGTTCTTGAAGCAGACATCAGCAAATGGTAATTTGAATGTCGATTGACCCCTCTAGTCTTTCACCGAAGCACCGGCATCTCGCGCTTTTTTGGCTGCTTAGCCTTGGGGTTGCCGGTCAAGGCTTGTGAAGGTCTTGGGGCTTTTAGTTTCTGGTGGTGTGGGGGGGTTTGGGACTGCAGGATTCCAAGGCCTAGCGCTTCGAACCTTGCGGTTCCAGGTTCCGGCTTGAGGCCTTCGAGCCATACCTAGTGCAGCTTACAGCCACCAAAGCTGCGAGGACTGCTCGACCCAGAACTTCTTCTCTTGAGTCAACACACCCAATCCTCCAAGGCCGTGGCTTCCCTGAAAGTCAGGGCTTGCGGACAAACCAAGTTAAAGATTACTCACTGGGCTCCTGGGCCTGGGCCCCGAAGCCCTAAACCCCTGAACCCCTGAAACCCCAAAAAAACCCAATAACCTACACCCTCAACAACTTCTCTCTCGCTCTCTCATATATACGTATATATATATATACATACATACATACATACATACATACATATATATATATGCATCATACGTATATACATATGTCCCCACCTCTAACCCTCAGAACCCGCCGTGATTTTGGACCGCTCCTATTTTGGGTTTCAATGGGTCTATGGGGTAAGGGACTTAAGAACCAGACGGGGGTTCGAGAACTAGAAGAGGTCGCCTTTTTTGGGGTTCTTAGTATGTGTGTGTGAGGGATACCGTATGGATCAACAAACAGGGACTTCAGAGCTAGAATAAGGCTCCTTGTAATTTTTAGGGTGTAGGGTTCCTTGAAGTGTGGGTTCCTTTCAGTGTCATATAAAGGACTCAAGAGCTAAAGTAGAATGGGGTTCGGGTGACTTTAAAACACACAAACAAGAAAGAATCCAAAGGTTCAGGGCTTAGGGTTTAGGGTTGCTTAGGGTTTAGGGTTGGGGCTAAACGCTTCACGGTTGCAAGGTCTAGGAGTTCTGGCTTTCGGGCTTTAGGGTTTGGGGTTTAGGGCTGATGTGGTAAGTACTGTTAAGGCCATTCCTACTTGTCTTGCGAGTAGCTACTACGAGATACTGAGATTATAACCGTTATCATCTTACTGACAGTAAATATCAAACTATACTGGATTCTCTTATACCGTATGTTGCCCGCTGCTGGGTATGCGGGCTTGTAAGAAGCGCTGGTTGGGGAGGTCTATGCCAACC